CGACAGAGCGAGCTGGGTGCCCAGAGGGAGGATAAAATGGAAGTTTGAATAAAATAATAGAAACCCCTCAACGAAGGTTTTCAACAAAACCGGCTGAAGTCTGCTAGCTGTCTCGCCCTGCGTAGCAGCATTTTGAAGGCAGCAAGCTGGTCTGGGGGCTGGGGGTGGTTTGTTGGTTTTTCCCCACAGTGGGAAAAATTTTGGAGTTTTGATTTCTGAAACGTGAATCCAGCTGCTGAGTTCACAGCCCTTCTCTCCAGCAAACTTCAGCACTCATCTCGGACGACAGACTGCTCGTCTCACCCCTGCGTCAGTAATTTGTGTCTTCCCACGTGTTAGGTGCCTTTGCCTAGCGATGCCACCCATCACACCTCTTGCTCCGGGGTTCTGTTTTCCCAGGCGAAGACCACTGGGATCCCTGCAGCTCTCAAGAGTTTCCAGCTTTTAAAGGAGTGAAAAAGGGGTAGAGCTTGCACTTAATATCAGTGCTGATCTCTGGATGCTTTTACAAGTTCCTCCCCAATTTAAGTTGTCACATTCTCAAAGGGCGCTGCTGAGTATCTGCAATCTCCTAATATATATTTTTAACCCTGATTTCTAGCCCTGTCTTTGTTAGGGGGAGGATGGGGGGTGGTGCTTTAACTGGTTAGGTACTTCAGATAAAACCTTGGGATAGCCTAGGATTTACCATGGCCATATAATGCAAGTTAAAATTATGAACTATCCTGCCTAAAACAGGATATAATGGCTTAAAAGTACCCTTTCTTCCCAGTGTTGATGTAGCCCCCGTCAATTACATGGTAGCTGTCGACCTGCACGCACTATATATAAATACCTAAGATATTAGATGATAATGTAGCTGTTGCACCCTGGTGTAAGCGGTCTGGCAGCTGCAGCTATCTTGCTCCCAGTATCCCACCTGACAAGGGTGCCTCTGCATGGAGCTGCACTGCACTGTGTCGACACGCTCCGTGCCGCTGGCCTCGGCACGCCAGTGTTTTGGTTAACGGGTGGGGCAGTGACCCTTTGTGTTTTGTTCTGAGCTTTCAACGCTTCACTTCACTGAGTATTTTTTCCCCTTTATGCTTTTGCACCTGTATGATACTGCCTGTGCACTCAAACTCTTCCCATGACTGGGATGAAAATAAGACCCCCAGCAGCTTCCTCCCATCCCTTGTGTCAGGGCCATGTCCGCAGAAGACAGTGCTGCTTGCTCCTTGCTTTGTCTGAGCAGAAGCGAGTGGTGGTGTTTCTGCGGTGAACTTGGGGGTCTCAGTGACCGGGGTCAGCACTACACGGTGCCATTCGGTCCGAAGAACTTGAGATGGGGATGAGGAGGAAGGCTGAGGCTGAAGGTGCTGGAGGCTCCGGTCAGTCCCTGACGCTTCTCTAAACTATGGCGTGGTTAGGTAGAACCATCTCATACCAGGCAAATGTTTTATTGTACACTACACCGCAGGGGACATCAGGAGCTCTAAGTGGTAGAAGTGGGCAAGATTCTTCATTTTGTCTTCATCTCTCACTTTTTTCCTCTGTAGTTTCTTTCGTGACCAGCTAGCAGGTAGTGTTGGGAGAACGGTGGGTACGGACATTGATATCCGCCACTCAACACTTGTGCTTCAGCGTTGGCTGTTGCTCTTGCTCAATGGCAGTTACTTGCTTTTCTGTTTTGACTTCCGTTTTTATGTTACACTTTCTGCTTCTCTTGTTTCAGAAGAATCCATTGAAGATGTGGAAGGGCCCAATGAAACAGCCTGTGATGCTGAAGAGCCTGCCAAGGAACAAGAGAGTGGAGGGGACAAGGACCAGAGTAAATGGACAGGTGGGTTTTGGTCCCTCTTTTTCTTTAAATCCATGAAAGGAAAGTGGGAAGTTGCAGAGCAGCGGTCTGCAAAACTCTTTCCTTAAATGACTGCGCTGCGCAGCACTGTCAGCATGACATTAAGTGTCGTCCTCTGTGAAGTCTTTGGGTGTAGCTTCATGACACACTCATATAGTTTGAGCCGTGATCGGTCATGCGTCCCCCCTCCCAGCCCTGGGCTCGCACTGGGGCAGTGGGTCGGAGCTCCCCTGTGCTCAGTGGTACTGGACCTGACCCAGGCGGTGGGAATCAGCAGCTGCGAGGGGAGGAGGGAGAAGGGGACTGCCCCTTCTGGCAGCAGCCAGCACTTAGGGTGGATTAAGCATATCATGAAACCCCACCCTATGTTGTTAAGGCTTGAGAGACTGTTAGCCTGCTTTTTCATCGTGGTCCTGGCTCTGGTAGCAAGATTTTGACACAGAAAGGCAGAGCAGAGAGGCAGACCCTGTGCTTGTGCTCTGTTAACTGCTCAGTTTCTGCTGGAGCCATGACATCCTGAAACAGAAACTGCAGATGCGCAACAATACTTACATTGTTGCAGTGGAATCTGAAAGGTTTCTCTTTGCAAAATCCTTAGATGGATTAATTATGAAGTTATTAGGTTACTCTGTCTTTCCCAGAAGATGGTTGCTATCTTGCAGGGGTGAGTGGGAGGAATCTTTTAAATATTCCTTGCCTTTGAGCAGAAAGCAGCTGCAAGATTGTCGTCCTCTGGAGAGGGCCGTTCCCCTCCTCAGCTGGCACTTGCTGACCACTTCAGCGTAGGTGTGGAAATGGAGGCACTGGAGGCGGTACTAATTTTCCTTGACACAGGACGGAGCGGTTCTGACTCCCCGTTTCTGGTTCTGAACGGTAGCCCAGTCGGTTTGCAGACTGATGGTTGCTTGGTACGATGCCTCTCTCAGTCTGCACAGAGGCCCTTCTTCCAGGCAGCCTTCTCCTGCTGTGTTTGTGGTTGCCTCTTAGTGAGCCACAGCCAAAGAGATATTTCGGATTACACAGTCTTCAAAAGGATGAAATGTGGTCTTTCGCCTCAATACAGTTTTAATCTCAACCATTGGAAGATGTGTCCAAACTGGTGAAGAAAGCAAGCTGCACTTCAGTGCTTGTTGAAGCTCATGTTCTCAGTCTAGACTGCACTTGCTGAGGTTGCTCTGTATGTCATTCCCCATCACAGACCCATTCTTCAACCCAGAGATGCAGATTTTGCTTGGCTGTAGGTGATTTTTAGTCTCTTGTTGCGTGGGATTGTGTGATCCTAAGCAAAAGCACACTTCATGAAGTGTCACAGAAAGATGTAAGTATTGTATATTTACTAAATCTCTTAAAGGGGAAGTAGGGCCCTTTGTCCAAACCTGAAGCACTTACAAAAGCTGATCTATGTGAAAAGATTATTTTTATATGTTAAAACATGTAAGGAAAAATGAAGAACCTACTTTTTAAAACTTTTACTATCCAGAAACTCTAAATTTGGGTGGCTTTATTTCTTCATCCTGCCGGTGAAATTCCTAACCCATTTTTGATGTTTGTCAGTCAAACAGCAGATAAGAAATGGACATCTTCATTGAGTCTTCAAAGGAAAACACACAAAGGAAAACGCAGAATATGTACGTAAGCCCACAGAGCTCTGGACGAGCCTTGTCCAGAGCCGCTGCAAGGCTGAAGAGTACAGCCTCAGCAAGATGTATGCATGCGCTGTTGTTGAATTCAGGTCCTGCTTTCAAACATGTAACAACGTTACCCCTGAACTTTAAAGCAAAAAAAAATGTTATCCACTGTTTATGTAGAGTGGATATGCAAAACAGGTACCACACCTCGGTCTTGTTTCGGCTTTCAAGCTCCCTTGAGGAACATGGCTATGTTGCCATGTCCTTCTGGACCACAGACATGGAAAGGAATGGAAACTAGGTGAGGTTATTCATGACAACCACAGAAGAGCAGTGTCTGCACGTACAGGAATATCAAAACGCCACGGTACAAATTCAGGTGTTACCAGGGAGGGAAACGGGTAATATCAAAGAAGCACTCACTTGCTGTAAGAGAAGACTGCAGGAAAAAAGCTGGTCTGCAGCTCAGCCCAGTGGGAAGGCTATCAGCCACGATGTCAAGAAAGCTAAAGAGCATAAAGCCTTCTTTGCATTCATCTTCACTAAACAGATCGACTGCATGCGAGACCAGAGCAGCCCGTGCCAGCGGCACTATGGGGAGAGCTCGTCCTCCGACTGTGAGGGAACAGACTGCAAAGTACTTAGTTAAGCTAAATGTTGTCACATCCGTGACCTGCTGCTTCATACCTGGGTGCTTTGAGAAAGTGACTGGAGCATCCTCAGATCTGTCAGCTGCTATCTCTTGTGAATTTACAGAAAACGGGGGAGGTACCATGAGGGACAGACATGGTGCTTATCTTTGACTAAAGGAGTAGCTGGGGAACCGCACACCTGCCAGCTCCGTTTGCCCCAGATTTTCCTGGGAATTGACCAAACAACTGTTTGTAAGTACTGACGGGAAGATAATGAGATGAGCAACAGTCGACATGGATTTGTCAAGAACAAATCATGTCAACACGACCCAATTTACTTCTGTGTGAAGAAGGTCTTGCTTGCAGTCAGTATCTCATATCATCTCCTTAGGAAGACTTTTGATGCTGCTTTTCAGGACAGTCTCAAAACGAAGCTCAAGCATTATGGTGTAGGTGAAGATATTATGGAATGGGTGCGTTTCTGCAGTGCTGGAAAGCTTCCTCTGGAAGATTATGTCCATTTCTGAGCTTGGGGTGTCAAGAAAGTTGAGGAGCAATTTCAGAAAGCCCAAACAGCACTAACAACCCAGAAGAGAGCATGGTCTGCATAGCGTCAGCTGTGAGGAGAAAATGGAATGAAAGGACTTATTTGACCCAAAAAGAGAAGACCAAAGGGGAGGACAAGATAAGTCTTCTTGTGCATAAAATGCTTCTGAAAGGAAGGAAATAATTTGTTTTCCATGTTCAGGATATAGACAACAAGAAGTAATGGGTTTAAATTGAAGGGAGAAAGATTGAGGTTAGATAATAAATAAATAAAAAATTATCCTGGTACAGCTTCTGAAGTACTGGAGTAGATTTTCTGGGAAGGTTCCTCAGAGGTCTTTCAAGAAGATGAGCTTCTGTCGGGAATGAAGTAGGCACAGCTTATCCTGCTTTGGATGGAGCCGCTGACCTTGACCGCTGCCTCTGAGCCCTGCAATTCTGTGAAAGTGGGAGATAGGTGAGAAAGAAGTGCAGGCTCAAAGCCAATAAATGGTGCGTTGAAGTGGAGGTTGATAGACCTGTTTTCTGTTCATCATGCTGCAATTTGATCATTACATTCCTTAGCAATTTACTCACTTTTTGTGCCTCAGTTTCTTAACCGCGCACTGGGTGATTATTTCTTCCCCTTTCTTCAAGATTTGTGAGATCTCTAACGAAATGTCGAGTATGTCTGCCAAGCTCCCTCTGCACAGACACGCGAGTGATGAGTCAGGGTTGTTCGACTGCTCTACGGTACATGCGTCCGCATGTGGCAGGCTGCACCGGTGTCGGTGTTAGCACTGAAAGGAAAAAGCTCTCTGCTTTCATTGTAAGCTTGTCAAAATGTCTCAGCTGCAAAGTAAATTTATCGATTTGGGGGGGTTGTTTATTTTAAAACAGAATAATCTTAAGCAGAAACATTTTTTTAGGTAATACTTTCCATTAAAATATACATGTGGAAAACTCCATCCCAAATAAGGATTCATTTTACCTTGATTTTCTCATACAGCTTTGTGGCTCCTAAAAGATTTCTGGAAAGCGGCAGCGCCGTCTGCTTTCAGCAGTGCTCGCACTGCCTCTGTTCCCCTCAACTCCTAACAGGCAGCGGTGCTTCACAGGCACCAACACTGTTGTGTGACTCCTAAAATACTGCGAGGAGAGAAAAGGGCTGATGTTCCCTGTTTCTAGATGGGACCTGTTAGTTTTCGCTTTTTCCTCTCTCTCCGGCAGTGGGATTAAGCAGCTCCCAAGCGCCATTCGGTGCAGCCCCCTCGCACCGGAGCTACCTCTGCCCTGCCTGCTCCTCTCCTGCTCCAGAGTTGTCCACCTCCGTGCTGGAGAAGGGAGATGCTCTTTGCCTGATGGCTGAGCTTTAGAAATTATCTCATCATGACTAACGTGAGATTTATCACAAGCATACCAGCAAGGAGGAGAGAAATCATGGCTATTCCCAACTCCATTTTTAAGGCAGGATGTAAATGATTAATATTCGACACATTGGTTTCCAGCTAAAGCCTGAATCAGACCAGGGTAGATCAGTACGAGACTTTTGAGATTTGGGGTGGGGCTTATATGTATTTTCTGACTAGAGAGAAGCACTTCATCTGCAGTGACCCAGCTATGAAAGAGACTTTCTTAATGCACTGTCAGTTGTATAGGTATAGAATATCAGATTTTTTTCCACAAAAACAAGAAACAAACTCTACTTAAAATATAGATTGAAATGAAATATTTCTAGAGGACTAGCCTGAAGGGCTTTTATTTTTTTTAATGATTTTTTTTTTTTTTAATCCATGATGCTCACCTAACACAGAGCAATTAGAGCAATGGAGCGTCCCTGATTCGAATCCGTGGTAGATTGCTATTAAAGGAGGTATTAATGGGCTGCCGAGAGCTGGGAAATTGTTGCAGAAAAGTGTGTTTATGGAGTATGGTGCTGGCAGGCATGATTTCAATCGGATTTGACATGTTTAACATAAATGTATACTGCACAGCTCCTGCAGTTTATGAATAATTCCTACAGGCCCACTGCCTTTCTAATTACTGAAATTGAAAAAAACAGGTCAGGCACATCCTGACGGAAATCTATTACTGCCCCTCCCCCCCGCTGCCGCTTTTTTCTGTTTTTTTTAATATATGGCATTTGTTGAGCGCTTAATGGCTGGGATATTCTGTGGACCAGAGTAAAGACGAGGGC